GGAGTCAATGGCAAAAATTCTAAACTACACTCCAAATACTGTATGAACTCACCAGCATTAAAAACATGTAGTGTTGCATCAGGAACAGGATCAGGTCCAGTTAATCCTCCACCAAATACATAGAACTTACTGCTGACAGATGCCATGCTGTGACAGGTTCTTGGAGATGGTGTATTTCCATGTGTTTCAGCTGTTTCCCATTTTCCATTCTCTAAAGGAGATAAAAAAAAGGTTTAAATACAACTAGTTACATCTAAACACCTATAGTTGTTGATAACCTTCTTTAATTGCTGCTTGCTGTGTTTCAGCTTGATTACTTATCATTATAAGAAATTGTTGGCAAAAGTCACAAAATTTCAAACATTTGGAAATCTCTTTGATGCGTAGTGTACAGATCTCCTTGAATATGGCAATTAATTTGTACACACCAACAAAAGGTTGATTGTACTCATTTCCATTTGATAATTTTTTGAGAGTTTCACTTTTTGCATTTGGAGTTCTTTTTTACCAATTTGCTTGAACGATTTTTTTTAGTTGTAGATGTTAAAAAAATTTTAATTTCAGAGTATCTAACCTCATATCAGCTATAGATAGATATGCAAAATAATAATGATAATAATCATGATAATAGTATTGATAATAATGATGATAATAATAAAGATGATAATAAACAAAAAAGAGCAATTTTGGTCAATGTTATGTCATTTTGACCTTACTCTTGTTGAATAACGAAAACATTTAAGGGTAACTTCATCATCACCACAGTACCTTGGTCAAGAATTTGAATGTCATTCAAGTTTGTAGCTTGCTGAGCTCCACCAAATACGTAAACTTTCTTTTGATTACAATCAGGGATAAAAACTGAATGTTCATAACGACTGCTGATACCTGGCCATTCTGGTTTACTCCACTGAAACTTATCTACACAATAAAACAATAACTTAACAACATAGAACATCTTTGTTCCCATACAGTTAGACAACTGAAGTTATTTTAAATCTTACGATATCTTCCATTCTGATTGTAGAATAGCAGGTATCACTATAAATTGTACTGAAACTGTAGATAGTGTTGAAGGTGCGCTTTGACTGGCTACCCAAATTCAACCGAATTCAACCATCAATCAATAACATGTTCCTATGGTAACCTAATGACAATAAGCATTCAATACACGTACCATCTTTAAACAAAATCAACCAAAATTTCAAGCCAGTTAGGTTTTTTACATCTTTTGGGCACCTTTAAGTCAACTTTATCTGTGCAAGTCTGAACACACTGCCTGTAACCTACTATTAGGACGAATTTAATGTCATCAGTCGATCAGTTCAGAGCTCTCATGCTTCGATTCGTTACTGTTTACATAATAAATATTCCGAAAGGATTGTATTATAGGGTAGAAGATAATCTAAGGAAGGTATTTTAAAAAGAATATGAAGACTGAAAAACTTATCAACAAACCAAAATCCAAGAAAAACACGTCAGCAAACGATCCATCGGGATTGGCGCCACCAATAACCAACACACCAGGAGATTCCTCAGAAATGAAAGTGCATGTGTGGCCTACTCTTACACTTGGGGCGTCGCCTTCAGGCGACAGAACATACCATACGTTTGTTTTGGGTGCGTCATTCTTCTCAAGTATTGGAAGAATCTCCATTTGCTCTTATTTCCAATCCCACCTCCAATGTCAGTAAATTAAATTTGAACGCCTTCAAGATGCCGCCATTTTAAAACTGAGCCTTTACATACAACAGCGGCTATTTCCATTAATTATTTTCTAGTGCCAGTTTCCTTTCGTTCTGAACGTGGCAAATCCAAAATGGAGGAAATAATTTTTGTGTTTACACTTGCCTACGTGCTTGTGGCGCTGTGTTTCATAGCACCTCCGAGGGAGTTTGTGAGTGCTGGATTAACCGTACAAAATATATTGTCTAGTTATTTGGGGAGTGAAGATATGGACTTCGTTGGTTATCATTTAAGGAGGACTACATCGACACTTCTGCTTCATTCGTTTCTTCCACTTGGTAAAGTTTTTCGAGTACTTCTTTAAATTTAAGGAGCAACTACAGAATACAGGGCCATTGAGGTCCACCTTGTCGGCATGCTTTGAAGAACGAGGCAGAAAACAAAAGGATGCATTGTGATTCAATGAGATGTAAATATGTGCCATTCTTTTAACTTGTTGGGGGTGGTCAGTATATGATGCTAGGGTATTTGTTGCTGGGAGTAAGAAACCTTTTGGGTCAGGACACAGGGTGATAATTTTTTTATTAAGATTCTACTTAACGCCATATAACGAGATGAATCCTATGCGTCCCTTGATTGGTTCTTACTTATCATGAGGGGACGCAAATCGTCTGCACTGGAAGTACATACATATCAAACTCCCTAGGCGATTTAATCCCATTAAATATGTGGTTTTTATGTCAGCATTTGCATGGTTAATATCGTTAGCGCCCCTGGCCTTTCAGTTGGATCTGGACCATGTTTGTTTTTGGATCTGGACAATGTTCGTTTTTTTTTTTTTTCCAGATTGCTTTGTAGTGCAGGTAATTTTCTTATAGTTATTTTCCCCAAAAATGGCACCGAGGAAAGGTTTTTTGACCTTCTCTTGCGTTGTCAGTGATGCATTAAGCGAGCATAGTTACAGGTATGTGCTCACAACAGAAGTTTGTGGAATTACTCCTCTGCAATATTTTAAGCGATCGCCAATCATGACAACTTTTTCAGAAGATTTCTGCAGAATTGAAAGCAACAAAACTTTGGCTTCTCGATGGGTGCCCCTTCGTCAACAAGAAAAATTCCAGCGCATTTGAAGTTTGGATGGCCATCAATGTGAAATGGGGTTGACAGGCCTACATGACTCCCCAGTGCGTGTTCAAAGTTTGGCGCTCATGAGTATGTCTTTGAGCGACTGCCCTCTTTTAAAAGATAGGAGTGGCGGATTTTTGTATATTTTGCTCAGTAGTGGATTTGTTTCTATTAAATGCCAGTTTTTCATTTTCTTTAGGTTTGACACTGATGGTTTGTATTGTGTAACAAAAGGCAAGATTCGTTGGTTCGTCTTCGGTCTCTATTGAAGAGCTAATTTCCTGTTTTTGAAAGTCACCTCTGAGAGGGTTGTGTTAATGAGGTCCTCTGGGTAGCCTCTCTTTAGCAAATGCGCTTTGAAATTTGCAATTTTCTCCTGGAATATCGTTTGAGAGTAGTTTGTTTTGAGAAGTCAAGGGGCCCCCCCTTTTATGAACCTTTTTATTAACTCCTTGTGGGTGACAGGAACTATAGTGTGTATACTGAAATGTCTCATTTTGTTTAAAACGAGTACGCACGTCAAGGATTGTGTCCTTTTCGAATCGTTCGCCTTTGTAGATGTAGGTGTTCAGGAATGTTGTTTCCTTATCAGAAGTTTCAGCTGTAAATTTTGTTGTTGGATGATGATTGTTTGCTTTTTCAATGAAACGTTCTATTGTTGCTTTGTTTGTACTCCATAGCAAGAAGATGTCGTCTATTATGTAACGTTTCCAAACAAGCAGTTTAAAAAAAGGCTTTTTTCAAGGATTTCTGTCTTTACCTTGTTCATGAAAATATTAGAAAAGGCGACTGCCTGAGTATTTTTTCGTGATTTTACCTCCCTTTTATTTGGCATTTCCAGCTTAGTGGAGGCCTCAAGGTCCGCTGACATTTTATTAATGTATTCCCAAGCAAGAAGAGCGAATAGTTGAACATGTGCTCTTGCATCCGATCTCATAACTTACAAAAACTTCATTGTTCTCGT